TGCATGAAACAAGAATGAATGAGTTTATTTCAACATAAGGCTCTATGGAAAAAATGTGAGCCCCCCCCCCCCTCCTCAAAAACGCCCTCTACAGTTCAATTTTCTATCCCACAATCCTTTACAAAATCCAATATGGAGTTAACACAATTCTTCCCTATCCTCGGGGGCGGAGCTACGTCACAAGACGTTCCACGTTGCTACGACGCGCACCACTGTACATGCATTTCTATGGGCTCTGTGCGCGCTGCTGTGGAACGCCGGTCGAGCCGGTGAAAATTCGAGAAAACAACACAAACTCAACTTTGAAGTAATCCCGAACAGCCAAATTTATATATGTTACACACGTAGAGCTAATCTTGTTACACTGTTCAGAAGAGTCTCAACAATCATCCCAAAGTACCGTTTTCAGCGAGTTTTTGGCCTTTGTTTACACCACCGCGGGTTGCCAGGCGGTGAAAATGCCCGGATGTCCGCCCCCGAGGATATGGGTCTTGTCTTTTCAAGTGCCCAACCCCAGGTGAAATTTGCAAACATGAAATGTGGTTTATGTGCCAAAACACACTGTATGTGTGGTTAGAATTTGAACAAAAATTGAGACAATGGTAACTTTAAAGCGGGGGAGTTGTCACCTGCGTATGTGTCAGATGGCCATGGCGTGTCATTGTTTACAAACAAGCATCTACCCATGAGCCTTTGCATTTTTAGCATGTTTTGTTATTGTCGCTTGGACTACACTCCCGCCTATGCGCAGGTGATGACCCTCCCGCTTTAAATTGCTGGAAATATGTGTGACCTAGCATATGAATACAAGTTTAACTATTGTTATACTTTTATGAATTCTTCTTAACAGTTTCGGGAAATGACAAAGAATTCTATCACAGCCAGAAAATTGGACGCCAACAGAGAGGAGTATGAACAGGTATTACAAGAATCGATGTCACCCCCACCGATTGCTGTTTGCACAGCTGCTGTCCATATAGAAAATGCTATCACGTAAGTCATGTCCAGTGCTTGGTTTTGAAATTTGCAACTCCTGTTGTACAAATCACAAAATAGGGGCTTATGTTGTGCTAATGCCCGTCTGTCTATCTATATGTATGTCTGTCTGTATGACAATGCATAGGTATATTTTCATGCTTCAAAGACGTGTCCCTTTTTTTCAGTGCCCTTATAAAGTGCATAAGAGAGAAACCATTGGAAGAGAGAGAGAAACTGCCAGCTTTTGAATCTGGTGCCAGATTGTTTTATCAGCTCATAGCAGAAAGTGATGACGATATCAGACATTATCCACCAACCAAACAGTTCTTTTCATCTTGTTTAGAGATATTAGGACAGGTAAGGTTATTCATTCACTGTGGACTACATGGTACTGTTCTGGACTGTGTGGCACAAGTATTGTGCCAAACTATGCATCTGTGTGTGTCATTGTGCTGGACTGAGATTCAGTGCTAGACTGTGCGTAATGTGTTATGATATTTATAAACAACAATCTCTACAAATTGGAACCTTAGTGCATGATGCAATTTATGATAGATTACCACTAATTTTCCACAACTACTTCCCGCAGATCGAACATAATTATAACACAAGACAAAACTACAAATGTAATCTTTCTCTCCCCAAAGTTAAGAAAAAATGTGGACAATTTTCTAACACAATTCCGACTCATATTAGATTTATACAGTCAAGAAACATATTCAAAAAAGAATACAAAAAATATCTTTTGTATACTTAGTGAACTTGGTGTTTTCTTGTACATAAAATGTATATACATGTACATATTTTTTTTCGCTATTTCTTTGACTAGCCCTAATACTTAATTATTATGAGTATTTATTTAAGAAGCTGGAAAGGGACTAGATTAGCAGTCACATGACGGCTATTTTCCAATCCTATTCTCACTTATGTTCTTGCATTGTATTTAGTTTTTGATTGTATTATTGTATTGGTTATAATAAGGAGAATAAACTTATTTATTATTATTTATTTAATGCACTTCTGTGCGGCACTGCACTGAGCTGTGATGCAGTGCTGGACTTTGCCACAATGTGTTACAGAACTTTCCAAGTACTGCGCTAAACTTTAGCACCACTGTGCGGCACTGCACTGCACTGTGTGACACTGCATGTGCTGAATTGCATGGAACTATGCTGGAAAATTGATCACTTCCATTGTTTCTATGGAATTTTACAATAAAATAACAGGGACTATGTCATCATCTCATGACTGATTACATTCACCTTGAGTAAATACAACCCATGAGATACATGTACAGTCCTATTTCTATGGAATCTTACAATAAAATAACAGGGACTATGTCATTATCTCATGACTGATTGCATTAACCTTGAGTAAATACACCCCATGAGATACATGTACACTTGATTTTTCTATGGAATCTTACAATAAAATAACAGGGACTATGTCATCATCTCATGACTGATTACATTCACCTTGAGTAAATACACTCCATGAAAAACATGTACACACCCTATTTCTATGGAATCTTACAATAAAATAACAGGGACTATGTCATCATCTCATGACTGATTCCATTCATTATGAGTAAATACACCCCATGAGATACATGTACACACACACTTCTATGGAATCTTACAATAAAATAACAGGGACTATGTCATCATCTCATGACTAATTACATTCACCTTGAGTAAATACACTCCATGAAAAACATGTACACACCCTATTTCTATGGAATCTTACAATAAAATAACAGGGACTATGTCATCATCTCATGACTGATTCCATTCATTATGAGTAAATACACCCCATGAGATACATGTACACACACACTTCTATGGAATCTTACAATAAAATAACAGGGACTATGTCATCATCTCATGACTAATTACATTCACCTTGAGTAAATACACTCCATGAAAAACATGTACACACCCTATTTCTATGGAATCTTACAATAAAATAACAGGGACTATGTCATCATCTCATGACTGATTACATTCACCTTGAGTAAATACACTCCATGAAAAACATGTACACACCCTATTTCTATGGAATCTTACAATAAAATAACAGGGACTATGTCATCATCTCATGACTGATTCCATTCATTATGAGTAAATACACCCCATGAGATACATGTACACACACACTTCTATGGAATCTTACAATAAAATAACAGGGACTATGTCATCATCTCATGACTAATTACATTCACCTTGAGTAAATACATCCCATGAGATGCATGTACACACACACTTCTATGGAATTTTACAATAAAATAACAGGGACTATGTCATCATCTCATGACCAATACATTCGTCATGAGTAAATACACTCCATGGAAAACATGTATACACCTATTTCTATGTAATCTTGCAATAAAATAACAGGAACTATGTCATCATCTCATGACTGATAATACAAATTGTACACAACTAATGTAATTTTCTAATAAAATAACAGGGACTATGTCATCTCATGATTTGTTGTATTCTAATTTCTTTACAGGAATTCATCTTAGATACCGTCGACCAATCACAACCATTACTGTCAGCCATGTTGGATAAACCGGTTCTAGCTGGACTTCTTGCTCCAAACTTCAACCCAAACAATTGCATTGAGGAGTTTGTAGATATGTACAAACAAGTAACAAAGCTACCCCATGAGAAAAGCGATCTGGCATTCATGTTGTTAACAAAGGTGAGAATTTACATATTTTTAATTTTTTTTTTCTGTTAATGTGTGACTATATGAATGCAATTGAGCAGCAATAATCAGACACACAGGCCAAAGTAAATTCATTATTATAATCAATATTATGATTTTGATGATGTTTTTTTCTCC